TTTTAGATTATTTACTGAACTATAATTTTATATTTGTAGTTAGAATTCATGAATTGTCAAAACAGGTCTTTATTTTTTTTAATGTTTTATTTATTTATTCATGAAAGTCAGAGAGAGAGAGAGAGGCAGAGGCCTCTCAGAGGCAGAGGCAGAGGGAGAAGCAGGCTCCCCGCCTAGCAGGGAGCCCAATGCGGGACTCGACCCCAGGACCCTGGGATCATGACCTGAGCCGAAGGCAGACGCTTAACCATCTGAGCCACCCAGGCACCCCAAAACAGGTCTTTATAAATATAAATGTAATAGTTAATATCTATATTATCATGAAAAAAAATCTAGGATCTCTATTAAATAAACACACCAATTAATAACTATTTATCCATGAATTTCCAAAACAAAACTATCCAAAAACATCAGGATACAGAAAAAATCTGCAAAAGCACTTGGTGCCCAAACCTACCTATCACCCACCACTTTATCTGGCCAAATTTATGTCCACCAACAGGAACGGTACTTTCCAGTAACAAGTCTTCCCCTAAGAAATGATATATATACACTGATATTTGAGTGTGATTTTGTACTGACTTACACAGATTAATTAAAGGCTCTCCCTCAGAGTGAAGAAGAAAAACATCAAATACCTTATGGTCAATGAGATTTTTCAGTGAGACTTTGAAGGTAAGAACCAGCTAATAGTCTCAGAGGTAGGACAGCGGCCTGTTTTTCATTCTTCTCTATGGGCACACCTTTTTATGTTAAGGACTCAAACATTTAAAACACATCTTTGACAACAGACACTTACCAGTTCCCTCATCTGCACCATTCTGAGTAGCTTCCCAAACTACTGGCTTTGTAACACACCCATCTATAGATGGAGAATCTGAATAGTCCGCAGGATTAAATGTCCTTAGGTTTGAAAAAAATAAAGAATTTAAGGCAAAGGCAACAATTACCAAAGTCACAAAATCAACCATACATCATCTTTCCCCCCCCACCCAAAAAAACCCTGTCCCTTCTAAAAGCCATTATAAGAAACTTCACCTTCCTTCTCCTATTTAATTATAGCTAATTCTTCTGGCCATCAGGATGTAGATCTTCTAAAAAGCAGTGATTTACTAGGGACCTTCCATACACTCTTGTATGATGCCCTTATTTCCCTAAATTGCTGCCCTCTGCATCCTAAAGCAGATGTGCACAACTATAATTGTATTAGGAAGAATAAGGGCTCTAATGGAAAGCCCTAAAAACTAAGGCCAGATTTAAACACACAGTCTTTTCTTCCCAAGTCAGAATCCAGATTCTTTTTGTATAGAAATGGTAGATCTAAAGACAATGTTTCATTCAGGTTTTTTTTCCATTAAAATTCTAAACACCCATGATTCAGAAGTCTAACTAAAGCCAAATCAATACTATCTCTAAAATTTTCAGAACAGAATTTAAAATTTCTTCCAGCTTTATTGAGATTATCATTGACAAAGAAAAAAATCATTAAAGAATATTTTTGAAAGTAAACCACAAAATCTACTCAATAGTCTAAAGCTACTGAGCTGGGCACATACGGTATGTTTAAGTGTTCCAGCCAGTTTGCTCCCTATGTATTCATCCTTCCTTCATCCACAATGAGCTCATGCAAGAAACTGAAATAGCAAGAGGTATCACTGAAGTCAGCAAACACCTCCTTGACCCTGCCCCCCAGTGCTGCCCTGGAGCTAGGAAGAGACAAAGGGTTTTGCTGGAACCAATTCCCTTCCTTTCTTGACTGTCATCTACAGATGGCTTCTACAAGAAGCTTAAAACTTTTCCTAAAATTCCAGGGGAAGCTAATGTATTAGAAGCAGCAAAAGGTGAGAGAATAACCAGAAATTATGGAATAAACAACAGATTATACTACCTATGGGGGAAAAGAACTATCACTTTTACATACATAAACATTGCATTTACTCATCATTCAAAGAAAATTACTGTTATTTATCAACTTAACTCTTAGGCAGTGGTTTTCAACTAGGGGTGATTGTGCACCTCCCTCCCAAGGAACATCTGGCAGTATCTGAAGACTTTTTTGATTGTTACAACTTGAGAAGGGGTGCTACTGACATCTAGTAGGGAGAAGCCAGGGACGTTGCCAAACATGCTACAGTGTAAAGGATACCTGACCACCTCAACAAACTATTACTAAATCTAAAATGTCAACAGAGCCAAGGATAGAAATTCTACTCTAAAACCCACTGCAATACAATTTTATTTGTACTATTTCACTTTTTCACTATTTCCTCTTTTTAATATAGAATTAACATGAGACTCACCAGGATAAATAAATTGGGTACAGGACAGAGGAAGAAAAACATTGGCAGTAATAACTAGAAAGGGTAGTAACTATAAAAATAGGATGGCTCAGACTTACCCCATGCCTTGGGTTGAGAATCTTCCTGTCCCTCTCCCTCTTCCACGTCCAAATCCTTGAAAAGAAAACAGAAAACAGTACTGTTAAATAGTATTTATGTGCTACACAATTATAATTCTACCAACTTCATTCTCTTATGCACCCACCCAAACACCACTGTCATTGTTCCTAACAGCACCAACATTCCTATCCAGTGTACCCAATCTGCCAGTCCCTACTGACACAACTATATACACAGTTACTGGTATTAAAGGACAGAAAGGATTTAATTCTGCTTGTATAGTACTTGTGATATGCAGCTGACATTACTAACTATTCTGGGGGTGCCTGGGTAGCCCAGTTGGTTAAGTATCCGACTCCCGGTTTCGGCTCAGGTCATAATCTCAGGGTTCTGGGATCAAGCCCTGCATCAGGCTCTGCGCTAAGCACAGAGTCAGGTTATCTCTCTCCCTCTGCTTCTCACCCCGCAAGCCCACTCCCCAGCTCTCCTGTGAGCACGCACACTCTCCCTCAACCACATAAAATCTTTAAAAAAAAAAGAGAGACAGAGAGAGAGATCATTTTATTCAGTGACTCTCCAGTTTTTCTTAACATCCCAAACTGTGAAATAAAGACCTAAATCCAAGAGCTGTAACTACACAACTCTTACAGAAAATATAGAGCAATAGCTTCATGACATTGAATTAGTAATGATTTTTTTTAAGAATTTTTTAAATCTTTAAAAAAAAAATTCTTATTTATTTGACAGAGAGAGAAAGAGAGCGGGAGAGGGAACACAAGCAGGGGGAGCAGCCCAGACAGAGGGACAAGTAGGCTCCACGCTGAGCAAGGAGTCCAATGTGGGACTCCATCCCAGGACCCTAGGATCATACCCTGACCTGAAGGCAGACGCTTAACCAACTGAGCCACCCAGGCGTCTCTTCTAAAAAACTTCAAAATCAAGTTAATTTACACAACAATAATCTGCTAGGATTTTTTTTTTTTAAGTATTTATTCGAGAGAGAAAAAGAGAGCATGCACAAGTGGGAGGGGGCAGAGAGAAGCTGACTCCCCGATGTGCAGAGAGCCAGATGCCCAACTGAGCCTAAGGCAGATGCCCAACCGAATGAGCCACCCAGGTACCCCTGCTAGATTTTGATTCAACTTGTATTGCACCTAAACACCAATTTGAGAAAAAATAACTTTTTAATAATATACTGAATGATCCAGTTCATAAACACTGAGTATCTCTCCCCTTTGTTGGGTCTTGATATTTCTCATCAAGATGCATAATTTTCTACAAATATTGCACACATTCTAAGTATTTCATGTTTTTATAATACTGTAAATAATACTTTTTTTCCTTTTTAATTCTCATTTGCAATTGTTCATTGCTAGTAGAGAAACACAGTCTTGATTTTAGGGGTGGTCACAGAAGTATATGCATTTGTTTGACTTCACCTACTTGTACCCCTTAAAAAAGATAAATATTATTGCCTATAAAATTTATCTCAATAAACCTGACATTTTTAAAAACTAGCAAGATAAATTTTCACAAAGTGTAGTACCATGAATTAATGTCCAAGGAGAGACTCAGTAAAAACTAAGTTTCACAACAGTGAGAGCTGAAATATATAAAAATGGTATATCTTTCCATTTATTTCTTGAAACTTGATTCCATGTTTTAAATATAACATTTAACATTTTCATAGGTAGAAGTCTTACCATCTTGCTCATTACACTTCTTCCTGAGCATTTGATGTTTTTGAGGCTCCTAATTTTTTTCCATTTTCTCTTCTTTGTTGATGGTTTATAGAATATATCTTCTATTGAACTCCTACCTAGCACCTTTTAAAACTCCCTTATTCATTTTTTTTTTTTTTTAAGATTTTATTTATTTATTTGACAGAGAGACAGCGAGAGCAGGAACACAAGCAGGGGGAGTGGGAGAGGGAGAAGCGGGCTTCCTGCCGAGCAGGGAGCCCGATGTGGGACTCGATCCCAGGACCC